CATTTAATTTCATTATTAGTGTATTTATTTTAAAGTAGGCTCCACACCCAACATGGGGCTTCAACTCGCAACCCTGAAATCAAAAGTTGCATGCTTTACCGACTGAGCCAGTCAGGCGCCCCCTAAATGTTAATCGTAGCCAAAACACCCTCACGGAACACTCAGAATAACTGGACATGCCACAGCTCGGCCAAGTTGACACAGAAAATTAACCACCACAAAGCTTTAACCACCAATATATAGCAAAACCAACTGTGATTCACCAGGTCTGCCAAATGGTACGAAGGCTATAAATGCATTCACCAGAGAGGATATCTATCTTAGAGCAAAACCAAGGAAGAGGATAATGCCAAAAGAGGAAAGGGAAAACAGAGACAGTAACAGACTGTGAGCTAAAAGGCAACTTGAGACCTAATGATAAAGCACGTAGGAGGAGGAAGAAATTTTTAGAATCCTAAGAGTCGGAGGCTGAAGTGATTGTGGTGGAAGGTGGGAACAGATGGTGATGCTAAATGGAAAAGGGTAATGTCCCAAATACACAAATTAATAGGGAGTTGAGCAGCCACTGGGACTCAGGACTTTGTAAAGAAAGACCCATGGGGGTTAAGGTGAGAATAAATGGAAACAACTGAAGCCCATGTTTTCCATGACAATGACCCTTCACCCTGATGGACAAGCCTAAGTCATGCCCTCAGCGAGAGAAGTGTGGGAGAAATTAGTCAGATGGGCTTGATGTGAGAACAAGCTGTGGTAGATTCAGGCAGGTTCTGCTCTGCTGTAGGTTAATTCACGCAGCCAGGCACTGCACCAGACAGTGTGTGCTGCACAGCCCACCTCCCTGCCCCTTCACTCTTCCTTGGACCATGCCCTTGCTCACAGATGCCCCCAGACCTTCCAGTCTCAGACAGAACCCAAAATCCTTGCCTGGTCCCTTGATGTCTCTTCAGCTCCCTTCCTACAACCCCCTTTCTCCTACCACCAAATCTTCTGGAGGTCTTCACAGGCCGCCTCCATTTCTTTTCTATCCCATCTGCTTAGCCCTTGTCTTTAGCTTCTCAAACAATACCACTTTAGCAATGACTTCCTTTTTTTTTTTTTCTTTTTAAGTAAACTTTACACCCAATGCAGGGTTTGAACTCATGACCCCGAAGACAAAAGTCACAGGCTCCCCCAACTGAGCCAGCTAGGAGCCCCTACGAATGGCTTCTTCTTCTTCTCTTAAGTTTATTTATTTTGAGAGACAGAGACAGAGAGAGTGAGAGCGAGCTGGGAAAGGGCAGAGAGAGAGAAAGGGAAAGAGAGAATCCCAAGTGGAGCACAGAGCCCAACGCGGGGCCTAAACTCAAGAACCATGAGATCATGACAAAACCAAGAGTCAGTCCCTTAATTGACTGAGCCATCCAGGCACCCCCTACCAATGGCTTCTTAATTGCTGGACCCAGAGGCTCTGGCTCAGCCCTCACCACTTTTTTTTTCTTTTCTTTTTTTTTAAATGGTGCCCAACAATTAACAATGATCTTGAAATTCCTTCCCTTGGGTCCCAGGGCCCAGCACTATCCTGGTTCTTGGTCTGGTCCACTGTCTCCCCTTCCTGGCTCCTCTCCTTCCTGCTTGTTCAATATATACACATTTTTACACATGTTAAAGATTCTGGTCTCAGTCCTCAGCATTTGTACCTTTCTATTCTCTCCTGTTCAGAAATCACTCACTCCCAGAGGTTCCTGCTGTCTCCTCCTACGCAGCAAAAATGTCCAACTCTTTCCATCCTGCCCTGGATCTGTTTCACCAGCTTGTCTTGCATTTTCAGCTGCCTTGTGACCATCCTTCCTCTACTATACACCAGAACCCCAGATTCATAGTTCTAATATCTGATCTTCCTGTCTTCGTTAACATTGTCAACACTGTCCGTGTCTGCCAGATTCTAAACTCCAACAGCATCTCCACCTCCGATGTATAAGTGGTCACCGTGACCTATAACATTCTCCCCTGGAAGGTCTCTCGTATTTAACTTTCCTCCCCATTTTAACTTCCAGTGACACCTTAGCTCAGTCCTCTTTCATCTCCTAAAATACTGCAAATTCTTTCAGCTGATCTTCTTGCCCCTTCTAGCCCCTTCTTGCCCTCTATCCTTTCCAATCCGGCATGCACTACACTGGGAGAGAATTCTCCAGGTAGATCTGATATTCCTGCACTGTCTGAAGTCCCTGAGCACAGGCATTTACACCAATTTAAGAATATTTATACAAGGAGACACTGCAAGGTAGTAAAGCTTGCAGAGACCTCTCCCTCCCAAGATGTTCCAGAGTGGCAAAGATAAAGACCTTGCCTTTCCTTCCCCAGAGATTTGTTTACATCCTGAGTAAAGATAAAGACTATCCCCAGAGAAGTCTGAGCAGGTAACCAGCAACTCCATATAAGACAGGAGCCTAATTCTGCAGCTCCTTGCCTATTGCACCCATTGCATGTGCAGGTACCATCGGACCCTCACTGTGCTGCCCTGTGGCACGTGGGGGAATCAACCAGGATATTTACTTCTTTCCTAGGTAGACCCTGTGCTCTAGTCAATCAGGATATGTTTCCCAAAAACACAGGATTACATATCTTCCCTCCATGCTCTGTCCATGCCTAGAATGCTTAGTTAGATGGCAGATGAGGGGGAAAACCAGGAAGCGCCAGTGCACAGCATGCCCAAGGCCAACTCTAAGAAACGATGAGCCACACCACTGATTTCTCTATGCACGTTGCCATGGCTCCTTCAAGGCACACTGGTGGGAAATCAGCCTGGCCGTTACCAACTAAACCGAAGACGGGCACGGCAGCCCCGTGCAACCACAGTCTGGTTGGATAGCAGGGAGCTGATATGGCCTCTGGAATGTTTGGTTTGAAACACTGTTGAACCAGGAGCTCTGCATTTGATGGTGGCCAATAAATCCAAACATCTCCTCCCCTCTGAGAAGTTTCAAGGGGTAAGAAGAGGCACCTCAGGTTCTAGTTGTCATTTCAGTTCGCCGTGAAGCTCTGTTTTCCAATCCCAGCCTATGCCACACTTCTGGGTATTCATGCAGTAAACTCCCAACCAAAGAGAATATGGGCATGCGTTTTTCTTGCAGGCCCTGACCTTGATCCAAGCACCCCCCTCACCGATCTCTAAGGTAAGGATAAACAGATGCTAGTCGAAGCACTGTGTGCAAACAGCAAAATACAAACATCCATTAATATGAGCTGATTAAATTATCGTATTTCATCATTAATGATAAGATACATCCCAATTTCACAGACATAAAATATCAATAAAATAGCCCACAGTGGTTTCATGTCATTGATTGTTCTAGTATGTGGGGAAAAATATGCACTTTTTAAAAAGCTCAGGTACGGCGCATTCATTCAGTGGACTCTTCTGCAGCTGGGACAGGTAAAATAAGAGTTGTGGGAGGGACATTTCCTTCAGGACAGAGAAGGGCAGGAGCCAGAGCAGTGACTCCAGGCATCAGGTTATATACCCCAAGGTGCCACAAATGGAGATGTAGGTGGTGTTACTTATAAACGGCTGTGCTTGAAAAGCAGACTTGGGGCGCCTGGGAGGCTCAGTCGGTTAAGCGTCTGACTTCTGCTCAGGTCATGATCTCACGGTTCGTGGGTTTGAGCCCCGTGTTGGGCTCTGTGCTGACTGCCAGCTCAGAGCCTGGAGCCTGTTTCAGATTCTGTGTCTCCTCTCTCTCTGACCCTCCCCTGCTCGTGCTGCCTCTCTCTCTCTCTCTCTCTCAGAAATAAATAAAACATTAAAAAAAAACAACAACAGAAAAGCAGGCTTGATTTTATTAAATGAGGTGATGGACATATGGGTTTATGTTTTAGTATTATTATACATTTTTGTACAACTAAAGTATGTCATAATACATTTTCTTTAAGCAGGCCTAGCCACCTGTTTTACTGCTCCTGCTCTTTGGGAGACCTTGTGTCCAACGATAGCTGAAAAAGTCAATTCCATAAATAAAGGAGTTGAAGGAACTATTCACTGTCTCTTATTTCCACGTGTAAACTATTAGGAAAGAAAGTATTTCCATTCTAGCAACACCTGGTATGTGCACACATCCAACTAAACATGAATGATTATGAAAGACTTTGCTTTCTCCTTTCTCAATACCATAGACTTTGGTGACACATCAACCACAGGGGAGCCTAGATTAAGCAAGGTCAAATTTGTAAAAAAGCTATTTTGGCATGGCTTTTTAAAAAAAAGTGTGTGCATAGTGGAAGGGGGCATTTCAATAGAATTGCCTTACATATTAACCTCCTGGCTATTTATAAAGTGGGACACGATTCTCAAAGCCTGATTCGATACAAGGAGTGCAAGCTTTGGAGCCAGACTAAACTCAGACCCATGCCAGCTGGGTGGCACTGTAAAGTCACATAAGTTCGCAGCGCCTGCTTTCTCCTCTGTAAAACAGGGTCAATAAATACGTTACAGGGTATTGTAAAGATCGGAAATGTTAAACAGAGCGCTGGCATACATTCAGTCATTATCCAAAACAGGGTCATTACTCTTAAGGCACTACGGGTTTTTTTCGTTTGTTTTGGTACAGGCTCTTTGACTTTGCGCAGTGCTCTCCTCATCTCTCTTGCTCTCTCTGGAGCATTCAAAACTCTCCCGCTCTCCATTAGCTTCAGTTCAACATTTATGTGCAGGTTACAAAGTCAAGCAAGCCAAGGCCTTTGGGCTGCTTACAATCAAACATAACACAGTGCAGAAATAATTTTCAGAGATTTTTTTTTTGTTCGCTTGTTTTTAATTTGGTAGAGGAACTGGCACCCCTGGGAAGACGCGCTTTCTACAGACCAGGGAACCGAGAGGCGCAGCACCGCGGCCTCCGGGCACCTCCGGGGTCTCCTCAGACTTCCCGCTCCAGGGCTGGGGGCGGCCAGCGGGTCCCGGTCCTCCGCAGGAAACTCCCCGCCACTGGGGAGGGAAGGGTCCCGAGAGCGGCGGCGGCCGCACTTACCAGGGCGAAGTGCACCAGGGCGTCGTAGCAGAGCCAGGCGAGCACGCCGCGGTCGGCCGCCGCCCGCCCGCGGCCCAGGCGCAGGCCCAGGGCGCAGCCCGCCACCAGCAGCGCGGCGCACAGCAGCAGCGAGCGGCCCGCCGCGGCCCCCAGCGCGGGGACCGCGTCCATGCTTCCGGCGGCGGTGGGGCGCGCGGGGAGACCCGGAGCCGGGAAGGGGCGGGGCCGGGCCGCCGGGGAGGGGCGGGGCCGCTGGGTCTGGGCGGGCGGCTGAGCGGCCTCGCTTCCCGCCTCGCCTCCGGCCACCCAGCCGCGCCTAGAGCTTTTCAGAGTCGGGATCTTGCTGAAGTCGCCTAACTGCCTGGACCAAATCTGTTCCCAGCCCAAACCCAAAGGACTGGTAGTAGAGCCACACCTTCTGATGCGGTTTGATCTTTGACAAGGTTCAATACCTTGTCAATACCTTAAGCAACAAAGTGAAGTCCAAAATGTTAGAAATTTTGCCAATAGACTGGGGAAAATTTTAGGGACGAAAGATTCGAATTAGGCCCATGCAAATCCTTCAGGAGAGAGGAGGGCCAAGGCATTTTCAGCCACCAGCAGACTTTTTAAAGCTGTTTTGGCTTACTCTGACCCTACTTCTTTTTTTTGCCTCTTCCAAGGGAATTTTAAATTTTTTCCTATAATTTATTTTTTTATAATTTACATCCAAGTTAGTTAGCACATGGTGCAATAATGATTTCAGGAGTAGGTTCCTTAAGCCCCTTACCTGTTTAACCCATCCCCCCACCCACAACCCCTCCAGCAACCCTCTGTTCTCTGTATTTAAGAGACTCTTATGTTTTGTCCCCCTCCCTGTTTTTATATTATTTTTGCTTCCCTTCCCTTATGTTCATCTGCTTTGTATCTTAAAGTCCTCATTTGAGTGAAGTCATGTGATATTTATCTTTCTCTGAGTGGCTAATTTCGCTTAGCATAATACTCTAGTTCCATCCACGAAGTTGCAAATGGCAAGATTTCGTTCTTTTTTATTGCTGAGTCGTATTCCTGTGTGTGTGTGTGTGTGTGTGTGTGTGTGTACCACATCTTTTTTATTCATTCATCCATGGATGGACATTTGGGCTCTTTCCATACTTCAGCTATTGTTGATAGCACTGCTATAAACATTGGGGTGCATATGGCCCTTTGAAACATCATCCCTGTATCCCTTGGATAAATACCTAGTAATGCAATTGCTGGGTCGTAGAGTAGTTGTATTTTTAATTTCTTGAGGAACCTCCATACTGTTTTCCAGAGTGGCTGCACCAGTTTGCATTCCCACCAGCAGTGCAAAAGAAACCCTGCATCCTCACCAACATCTGTTGTTGCCTGAATTAATGTTAGCCATTCTGACAGGTGTGAGGTGGTATCTCAGTGTGGTTTTGTTTTGTATCTGCCTAATGATGAGTGATGTAGAACATTTTTTCATGTGTCGGTTGGCCATCTGGATGTCTTCTTTGGCGAAGTGTCTGTTCATGTCTTTTGCCCATTTCTTCACTGGATTATTTGTGTTTTGGGTGTTGAGTTTGATAAGTTCTCTATAGATTTTGGATATTAACCCTTTATCTGATACGTCATTTGCAAATATCTTCTCCCATTCTGTTGGTTGCCTTTTAGTTTTGCTGATTGTTTCCTTCGCTGTACAGAAGCTTTAGCAGCAAAAGTATGGGGCAGAAGAGCAATAGGTCATATTGGCTTGACACTAGATTCTTTTAACGTTATCTAACGTCACATCCACCCTAGGAGGTCAATGTTTTCTTAGTTAACAAATAGGAAAACAGCCTCAGACAAAGTAATTTGCCACTGATGGCTGAAGCCTGAACCCTCTTTGTTTTCTGACCCTGCACGCTGACTTCTTAGATGGTAATTATAGCCCTCTTCTAATGAAGTGCCACTTTGTCCTGATCACATTAACCTTTCCTCTCTGCTTTTGCTAACATCTTGCTTGCTTTTAACCTTCTCCCCTCTCCCTTCCTTAAGCCTCTGTTACTTAGAGACTTAGCACTGGAGAAAGGAGTCAGAGTTTAAAAAGATTGTAACTTCTGTTGACCAAGCCTGTCTTTTAACTTTTGGATAGCCAGATAAAATACAGGATGACCAGGTAAACTTGAGTTTCAGGTTTAAAAAAAAAAAAAAGTTTAAATACTTAAAGTATCACTATGGTACTTATGCTAAAAAATTATTCTTGTTTTATTTTTTATTTTTTTTAAATGTTTTATTTATTTCTAGGAGAGAGAGAGAGACAGCGTGAGCAGGGGAGGGTCAGAGAGAGAGAGGGAGTCACAGACTCTGAAACAGGCTCCAGCCTCTCAGCTGACAGTCAGCACAGAGCCCGATGTGGGGCTCGAACCCATGAACCGCGAGATCATGACCTAAGCGAAAGTCGGACGCTTAACCGACTAAGCCACCCAGGGGCCCCTATTCTTGTTTTAAAAGTGGTACATACATACAATGGAATATTATTCATCCATAGAAAGGAAAGAGATCCTGTCACATTCTACAACATGGATGAAACTTGAGGACATTATGCTCAGTGAGATAAGCCAGCCACAAAAAGAGGAATAGTGTTATGATTTCATTTATATGTGGTATCTAAAGTAGTCATATTCCTAGAGACAGAAAATAGAAGTTGCCAGAGGCTTGGGGGAGGATGTAAAGGGGAGTTGTTTAATGGCTAGAGTTCAATTTTGCAAGATGAAAAAGTTATGGAGTACGGTTGCACAATGATGTGAATATACTACCGAACTGTACACTTAAAAATGGTTAATGGTAGGGGTGCCCTGAGAGCTCAACCAGCTAAGCGTCCTACATGGGGTCAGGTCATGATCCAGTGGTTTGTGGGTTTGAGCCCTGCATGGGGCTCTGCACTGACAGCTCAGAGCCTGGAGGCTGCTTCAGATTCTGTCTCCCTCTCTCTCTGCCCCTTCCCTACTCAGTCTCTCTCTCTCAAAAGTAGACATTAAAAAAAATGGTTAAGATGGTAAATTTTATGTTAGGTGTATTTTACCACAGTTTAAAAATATGATTTCTGGCACTGAGCACAAGTTCAAAACTTCCTCCCTTAGTTATTCCTTATATATTTTATATGGCAGCTAACACCAGATAAATTATTTATTTACACACTTATTGCTAGTCTCTTGCCACCAAAGTATAAGCTCCATATGGCCAGGAATTGTGTCGGGCTTGTTTAATGAGAGTATCCCTGGCACCTGTTAGAGTCTGGCATATACTAGTTGCTCAATTACGTAAGTGCTGACTGAAGAAGTGAGCATCCTGCCACCTATGCTTTGGATTGTCTCCTGTAACTTAGAAAATTGATGATCATAGGGGCGCCTGGGTGGCTTAGTCGGTTAAGCGTCCGACTTTCGCTTAGGTCATGATCTCCCAGTTCGTGGGTTCGGGCCCCGCGTCGGGCTCTGTGCTGACTGCCAGCTCGGAGCCTGGAGCCTGTTTCAGTCTGTGACTCCCTCTCTCTCTGACCCTCCCCTGCTCACGCTGTCTCTCCCTATCTCTCCTAGAAATAAATAAAAAAAAAACATTAAAAAAAAAAAAAAGAAAATTGATGATCATTCTTCTCATGTATATTCAGCATCTTTCTCAATTGGATTTCCCCTACCAATTTCCCCACATCACCCTACAGTGACCCTGCCCTCCCCTTCAGAGCAAACTAAAAACTTGATCAGATTCAATGTCTCCATACTGTGTCCCCACTCCTCAGTCCTTCCTACCCTAGTTTCCACCCTCATTGTCTCAAGTGATCAAGCTCTCACTAAGGTGACTGGTGACCTCCACTATCACTACCCCAAAGGACACTTCCTGTCCTTACTTTACCTGACTTCTCAACAGCATCACTGGGCACCAGAATCTCTTTTCCCTCCATTTTGAGGAAACACATAGCGTTTTCTTTTTACCCCTCTATCCATACCCTCTGTTCCTTTCGCAAGCTCATCCTCCACTACATGCCTAGTGGATGTTGGAACTCCACAGCACTGCCCTGAGCCCTGCTCTCCCTTCAAATGCTGGACCCAGGCAGTCTCATCCTCACCCCCTGCACTACTAACCACCAAAACAGGCAGAGGGTTCCAATCTCTAGCTTAGCAGCTCTCTCCTCTAAGCTCTAGACCAGTTTTTTTTTTTTTTTTTTTTACAAATAGTTTATTGTCAAATTAGTTTCCACATAACACTCAGTGCTCATCCCCAAAGTGCCCTCCTCCATGCCCATCCCCCCCTCCCCCCCACATCCATCAGTCCTCAGTTTTTGTCAGCATTCAAGAGTCTCTCATGGTTTGCCTCTCTCCCTTTCCCCCACCATTTCCGCCCTTCTTCTCCCCCTTGTTCCTCCGTCAAGTTCCTCCTAATCCTCCTATATGTGCAAACATATGATATTTGTCCTTCTCTGCCTGACTTATTTCGCTCAGCATAACACCCTCAAGGTCCATCCATGTTGCTACACATGGCCAGATTTCATGGTTTCTCATTGCCATGGAGTATTCCATGGTATAGATACACCACATCTTCTTGATCCATTCATCTGTTGATGGACACTTAGGCTCTTTCCATGTTTTAGCTATTGTGGAGAGTGCTGCTATGAACATTGGGGTACATGTGCTCCTGTGCCTCAGCATTTCTGTATCCCTTGGGTAAATTCCTAGCAGTGCTATTGCTGGGTCATAGGGGAGTTCTAGTGTTAGTTTCCTGAGGAACCTCCACACTGTTTTCCAAAGGGGCTGTACCAGTTTACATTCCCACCAACAGTGTAGGAGGGTGCCCGTTTCTCCACATCCTCGCCAGCATCTAGAGTTCTCTGATTTGCTCATTTTAGCCACTCTGACTGGCATGAGGTGGTATCTCAGTGTGGTTTTGATTTGTATTTCCCTGATGAGGAGAGATGCTGAGCATCGTTTCATGTGTCTATTGGCCATCTGGATGTCCTCTTTGGAGAAGTGTCTGTTCATGTCTTCTGCCCATTTCTTCACTGGGTTGTTTGTTTTTCGGGTGTGTAGTTTGGTGAGTTCCTTATAGATTCTGGATATTAACCCTTTATCTGATATGTCATTTGCAACTATCTTTTCCCATTCCGTTGGTTGCCTATTAATTTTCTGGGTTGTTTCCTTGGCTGTGCAGAAGCTTTTAATCTTGATGAGGTCCCAACAGTTTATTTTTGCTCTTGATTCCC